GGCCCTGGATTACCTCCAGCCCTCTTCCTTCTGACACACTGTTCCTGCCTCACCAAACTGCCAGAGTGAGGGTTACAGAACAGAGGTCATGTCCCTTCCCTGCTTAACACCTTCCAATAGAAGGACCACAAAGGTCATGTTAGAGTAAAATTCTGCCTCCTCGCTGTGCTGAAAAGGCCTCTGTGTCTTTCCTGGCTTCAGGGCCTTTGTGTTTGCATGTTCCCTCTGCCCAGAGTGTTGCACTGGTTCACAGGCAGACTCCTCTTTATTCAGGCTCCTGCCCACTGTCCCTTCCCCGAGGTCTGTCATAGCCGAAGGGGAGCCCCATCCTCATTGCACTCTCTTTCTTTGCTTCAGAGTACTTGTCGCTGCCAGAATAGAGAATTGCTTGTTTAGTGCACGCTTCCCCCACCCTATAGAACATCAGCTCCATGAGAGCAGGAGCCAAGGCTGCCGTGTTCACTGCTACACCCCCAGCTTCCACCTAGAGCAGCACCAGACCCAGTAGATGCCCAGCAGGACGGCAGGGCGCAGGAGGTGGGAGGGGCTGCTGGCAGTCCTGTGGCGAGGCGCTGTTCCCGCCAGAGCACTGGGAGGCGGCTTGTGGGACGCACATAATGGACAATTCAGATCTTCCAGGTGAGACTGGGCTTTCGTCAGGCAGGCAGATTGTGGGCCTCAGTGGGGCTCTGGTCACAGTGTGTGGCCTCTTGGCCCCAAAATCCTACCCCAAGCCCCCAGGGACACAAACCCTGAAAACAGTACCTTGTGAGAGCCCAGAAGCTGCAGATGTCATAGGGCAAGGGATTGGGAAACCCAGGCTCTCATCTGACTTGGCCCTGGCACACTCCTTCCTCTGCCAGCTCAGAGAGTAGGAACCCAGCCCCTGAGTCCCCACACTTGGCTGGCGGGAACTCCCTGAATACCCCAGAGGCCTGAGCCCTGAATGGCCCTTTTCCTTTGCAGTCACAAAATCCAAATGCCCCTCTTATGTGGGAGTGACAGGCATCCTTCTCCAGGAAACAAAGCACGTCTTCAAAATTGTCACCAAAGAAGACCGCCTGAAAGGTACATACATGTGCACCTGGGGCACTGTGGGCTGTGGCCTCCTCATCTGGTCTGTCAGCCCTGAACCTACAGCTCCAAGGAGCCAGTTTGGCCTCCTGTCAGCACAGAGTGCAAATACCTGCTCACCCCATGGCCCTGCCTTTAGACATCTCTGAGCCAGCCAGCAGCACCAGCTGGGAAAGACTGTGGGGTGGGAAGGGCTGCTGGGCTGGGCCTCGAGAGATCTGGGCCTGGGGGTGGGACCCTCCACCTGCCCAAAGGGAGTCCCTGGAGGTCAAATGGTTAATCGCTCAACTGCTAGCTGCAAGGTTGGCAGTGCGAACCTACCCAGAGACACCTCAGAAGACAGGCAGGGCTGTCTGCTTCCAAAAGGTCGTGCCATGAAAACCCTGTGGGTAAGTCCTACTCTGCATACGTAGGGTCATGTTGGGTTAGAATGGACTTGAAGGCAGCTGACAACAGGCTGCCCCGAGGCTGCTGCCTCCCCACGGAAGGTAGTTAAACAGGTGAGGGGAGAGACGAGGAGCACCTGTTCTGGGCATTCCGAGCACTCTGTCGGTGGTGGGAACACCTTGGGTCCCAGGGAAGCGACTTCGAGCTCCGTACCTGGACCACATCGCTCCAGCAGGCGGCAGGGCAGCCAGTCTGTGGGGATTTCCTCCCCCTGCCTGGCCCACAAATCCAGAGATTCCAAAACCAGTTCACTTTTTAACTTGGTTTTCCTTACTGCTGCCTTCTGTTTTCTAGCTGATGTTCTGTCATCTTTAAACTTCGGAAGGTCAGGTCCAGGGTTCCCCTCTGAGCGTGAAGCCAAGAATCCCACTGAAAGTTGTAAGGGAAAACCTTGTTCGGGCAGTTTTTCTGGTGGTTTCTGGTTCTGAGAGTTTGGTTTATACCCTTTGACCCTGAAAATTAGGTGTTAAGTTGTATTTAAAATGTGACTACATTGGCCTTATAGCAGAATATTGACATGTAATCGTGGTGATGCCACCTTTCTGAGGGTCCCCATTTCCTATTGTTGTTGTTATTTGCTGTCGAGTCGGATCTGACTCATAGCGACCCTTCCTTGGGTTTCCGAGGCAGTATCACTAGGGAAGTAGATTGCCTAACCTTCCTTCTGAGGAGTGGCTGGTGGGTTTGAACCGCCAGCCTTCTGGTTAGCAGTCAAGTGCCTTAGGCACTGTGCTACCAGAAGAGCTCCTGTTTCCTATTAGCTTATTTTTATCTTTCTAATATGAGCATTTTATGAATAACATTTTGCATAAGTGAACTTACTGTCAGGATTTTTTCTGCTATTTATATTTTCTAGTTATTCCTAAGCTCAACTGTGTTTTTGCTGTGGAAATTGATGGCTTTATTTCCTACATTTATGGGAGCAAATTCCAGCTTCGGTCAAGTGAGCGGTCTGCGAAGAAATTCAAAGCAAAGGGAACCATTGACCTGTGAGCTCTTTGCTGCATGAGCCTGACAACAGCAGGAAATTGGAAACACCTTAAATAGCCGTCTTTCAGGAAAGAAATGATTAAACCAGTCAGGTTATAGATGACCCCAGCCAGTAAAACATCAGTGAAGGACATTTGTAACCCACAAGGATGCTCATCCCAATGAGTGAAGTCAGAAGCAGAGGTGTGTGTATTTTGATCTTATGTTTGTATTACTCGCATAGAGGAAACATGGCAAAAATATACCAGTACTCATACTTGTTGTCCTAACTAGTGAGATTATTAGATTTTTATTTCTTTTTCATACTTTTGACTGTTTGGTGATTAATCAGTTGTTTTTACAGTTTACAGAAGTGCATATATACATAAAAAGGCTCCAAGGAAAGGAAATATGCCTGCAGTTCAGCCAAGTTGGAAGAGCAGGGGAGGGCCAGAGGTGTCCCTTCATTGTAAAAAACCTGTGTCAGGCACTGCTTTGCACCTTTTGACATGGTATTTTAAATTCTGCCTGCCGTTGATCTCTGGCATGACCTCAAAGAGCCTACTTTGCTCTTTTCAGAACACTGAGGAGGATTGGCTGGTGAGGCGGCTGAGTGACAGTCACTTCAGGACTTAGAACTGGAGCGGAGCACAGAGGCAGAGGCCAGGTCCGTGTGTGCTTATTCATGGTGGTCCCAGTATAGGCAGCTTCACCTTCACCAGCCATCTCCTCCCTGAGTCTGCACGGCTCCAGCGGCAGGCAGGTAGAAAGGAAGATAGGGTGCTCCCAATCTCTTTCGAGGCCGAGCCTTCTAGGAAAGCCATGTCCTCAGCAGTGGCGCCTTAGCTGACATCTTAGTTGACTCTAGCCCTCTGTGCAGTGTGCCTGCAAAGCCAGTAGATGAGGCCTTGCAGTGTGGTGCCCCGGTGAAAATACACTGGGGGTGGGGTGTGGAAACAGAGGCTGGAGTGGGAGCAGGCAGGCCAGAGTGAGAGCAGGCTGAAGGGCAGGCCTTCCAACATGTACTGGGCTTGAGGGCCTGCTGCCCTGTCCTTTGAGAAGCAAGTGTTTGCTGACGAAAAGGTGAGGGCAGACCTCCTGGTAACCACCAGGCAGCACGTCACACCAGCAGAAGCAGCAGTGCCAGGGGCTCTGCGTCCTCAGTATTTCCCATTTAGGTGCCACACTCGGAAGAGGGTGCCAAGCGAGGTGGAAACACTGCCTCTGTGACCAAAAACGAGTTGCTGTGGTGTCACTTCCAACTCTGGATGACCCACGTGTGTCAGAGTAGGCCTCTTCTCCATAGAGTTTTCAGTGGCTGTTTTGGAAGTAGATCGCCAGGACTTTCTTTTGAGGCACCTCTTGGTAGACTTGAACTTCTGACCTTTCAGTTAGCCACCAAGCATGTTAACCGTCTGCACCACCCAGAGACTCCTGTGACAGGAGAGATAGACGAACTAGCCCAGCGTCACACATGTGCACACACATGTACACATACACGTTCACACATGCATCTGACCCCCCAGAGGCTCACCGCACTAGCATTCATCCTGCACCAGCCTGGGCGTGGGGTCCAGGATGTTTCTCATCTGCCCGGACACTCTCCGAGCCCAGCACTCAGCCATTGGTGTCTGTGCTGTGAAGCACATGTGTCTCTGAAGCCAGAGAGATGGGACTGAAATCCTGCACCCATGGGACAGGGTGACCTGGCCAACAACTTAACCCCTGAGGTGCTGCCATCCTCATCTTGCCACCAACCCAGAAAGACCAAACCCACTGCCATCGAGTTGATTCCAACTCATAATGACCCTCACTGGCTTTCCAAGGCGGAAAATCTTTACAGAAGTAGATTGCCCAGTCTTCCTTCCAAGGAGTGGCTAGGAGGCTTGAACCTCCAACTTTCTGGTTAGCACCCAAATGCCTTAGGCACAGCGCCACCAGAGCCCTTCCTCTTGCCCCAAGGCAAAATGGCAACTTGCCCAAGGCCTTACCATTTGTGAGTGCTAGAGCTGGGGCAGGAGCCCACAGGGCTGGTTCTAGTTCCTGTGCTTTAGGCCGGTGCGCTTCGGCCTCCCAGATGGCCGCAGGCACGAGGGAGAGGGCCTCCTGTGTGTGCTCTGCTCCCTTTATTACCTGGTTTCCCACTAGGGAGATCTGTCATGTTCAGCGTAAAACGGTTTCATTCTTCCAACCATCTGAAAGCACCACATTGGTAACAGCATAGGTGCTATAACTTCCTAAACCATACTGCTCTTACCCACCCCTCCTCAATGTAAAAGGCTCCAATGTTGTGTAAATATACAGTTGCTTTCCAGAAAAGTTGTTGGTACCACTTGCCATGTGAAATCTGTTTTTCATTTGGCGCAGGCTCAAGTTTCCATGTGAGTTGCTGTTTAATTTGTAGATCTCTTCCCTCTCTCCCAAGGGGACTTGGTGAGAAGCTCACCTGACACAGCCACTGCTGCTCTTCCCTGTTTCTAGGAGGCAGCTGTTGTCCCCACAGCCCATCACCGGGGGCCACTGGGTCCTGTGCCCCAAGGCTGTGTCATCACCCAGGCAGAAGACGGGAAGAGGGCCCAGGGCAGGCAGGGGTGGGTTTTCAGTGAGCCTCTCAACTGAGCAGCACCGGCTGCCATGCACAGCCAAGCCCACAGCCCAGGGGGTTGGATCAGCCGTCTCGCCGCCTTGGCACATGGCTGGTAGGGAGAGGGAGGGCAGGGACTTTGCAGCCCAGTTTCTCCCGGCTCCACTGCCCAGAGAAGAGGACGCTGATAAAATGGCACCTTGGACAAGTAGGCCCGCGTGTTGTTAGATGCTTTCTGGCCGATTTTGATTGACAATGACCCCATGTGATGGGTAGAACTGCCCATAGGGTTTTCTCGGCTATAACAGACAGAAGCAGAGCACCAGGCCTTTCTCCCATGGAGCCACTGGGGAGGTTCGAACTGCCAGCCTTCCGGTTGGCAGCCAAGCACGTAATCATTTGTACCACCCATTGGTGGCACTCCTCAAAACACAATGAGCATTTCACAAGGCATCTGCCTTCTCCAGTTTGTCCTGCTCATCTGTATCTCCACTGCTCTTTCTGGAACTCAGAAGGGGTTAGGTTTAGGACCCACCCTCCACCCAACTGACCGATGACAGTACATTAAATTGTATTATGGGAGGTGATCGCATTAGATTACATCCATAGGTGTGGGGTTAAGATTTCAAAACATTATTTTGGGAGGACATAATTTAATCCACAACAGGGTGTTGCCACTACAAGAGAAGTTCTTACCCACAGGGCAGGATGTGGACTTCAGCTGATCCAAGTCCTGAAAGACTTTCCAGGCCCATCTCTTTATCTGTCATGTAGGACTGTTAGTCTAGATCAAGGTTTCCCAAAAGGGGACCCTGGAACTTCCTGTGTCAGAGTCAGCAGGGGTACATGTTAAAAGCATCTAGCTCCCTGGGCTGCACCTTAGACCTCCTGACTTGGCCTTTAGGGACGGGGTCCCGAGCACTGTGTGTTCATCTCAGACCCATCATTGACATGTGAGGACCATGGGCTCACGTGGTGTCTGAAGTCTCTTCCAGCTCTGACATCCTGACTGTGATTCTAAGCTTTGGTATGCTCAGGTCACCGTATTCTGGATGCTGGAAAAGATCATCAAATGATTGATGTATTAGGTTCTAAAGAAGTAAACATGAACATTCCCCAAAAAAGCCATAAATTATGATAAAAAGCTCTTTTTCTGGACAATGGCTTTGGTTTTAATTTAGTTTGCATTTCTTAGCTATAATGCCTAATTAAGACATCTGTTAAATGTCTATAATATTAATTTAATAGAAGGGGTTCTAATAGAAGTGTATTGGAATTGTCCATTTAATTAACCTCATGGGCCTGTAATGGATGTCTTAAATAGACATCATTAACAAGAGTGTGAGACAAATTAGAATTAGAGTCAATAACATTCTTGGTAATTTTTCCTGAGCTGTGAAGGACGAGCACTGCTAAGTAGACAGACGCAAAGATGGCCTACACAGAGGCAGTGTGGCAGCTGGTGTCCCCGGCAGGGGCTGCAATTGACAAGACCCCAAGTGAGATTCAACCACTCTCTGTCCTGGTCACCGTTGTCCTGAGAAGACACTGCTTGCCAGCCACAGAGGCAGTGCTCAGGGGTGCAGACTTGACCCCTCATATACGTTGTACAGAAAAAGTTCAGCAGCCCCTGGTCTATTAGCCTGAGCTCCTAGGTGAGGGGAGGGGTCCTGAGAAAGGAAGAGGGAGGAGGACATGGGGCCTTGTATCAGGAGTCTCGCTAACTACCAGATAGATGCATGGATCAGGTGAGATGGAGTGGAACAGGTAGGCTGGGTTGGTTGGGATGGGTGGGATAGAGTGGAATGCAAAGGATTATCCATTGAACACCTCTTGCTCAGGTGAACATCTTCCCAGAGTCACCTCTCTACCTCCACCATATTTGATCTCATTAACATCTGACAGGGTTGACCATCCCTCCCTCTTGAAGCACTCTATCCCTACACTCTAGTTTTCCTCTTCTCCTGACCACTCCTTCTCAGTGTCCTTGGTTGGATCCTCCTCCTCTTCCATACTTGTAACAGAAGTGGAAGGCCACTGTGCTCAGTCGTTGGACCTCCTTTCTCCATTCCCTCCATAGTTTCTTACCTATACCTTCAGATGTGCTGAAGACTCTCAATTGTATCACCAACTCAGACTTCACCCAACCTCCAAACCAGGCTTCACAACTTTGTTGACTGTCTGCCTCCCCAGTTGGGATGTGAGCTCCTTCAGGACAGCACTTTTGCTTTGATCACTGTGTGTTGTGTCCTGGATTATGTGGGAGCACTGTCTGTCCTACAATCAGTGCTCAGTATTTTGAGTAAATGAATGAAACAGTCCATGTGACTGACATCTCCCCTGGATACTAACAGTCATCCCAACATGAAGTGTTGCACACAGACTAGAGAACCACCCGATCTTCCCAAACCACTCCTTCCCTCACATCCCCTCTCAGTTA